ATAGAAATGAAAATTTTTAATAATAAGGGACATTTGAATTATGTCCTCACAAATAATTTAGGGACCCATCTTTAGTCACAGCCTCACGAGGCCTTCCCGATTGAGAATTGTCATTGAGATCCTCCCTACCCTCTTTAAAGTTATGAATCCAACACCAAACTGTAACTAACGATGGTGCACTTTGATCCCAAGCATTGACCAATTGTATATGAATTTCAACTACATTTTGATTATTTTTTCAAGCCACAAAAATATAGTGCTGATATGTCTCACGCAGATCTATGGTCATTTGTTTTAGGTGACTAACTTTAAATGGCAATCTCTCGAAATGGACGAAGTAAATTAATTCAAGTTTTTTTTTTATTGTAGACTGTGACACGATCTGGAATCCTGTTTATTTAATTTTGAAGTACATGTTAATAAATGGAAAGTTATAATTACATGATCAAAACTTTTCAGCCACCCCTCGTATATAAGAAAAAAAGAATAAAAAAATCATGGAAAAAAAACAATACAAATGTATACAAAAAAAAAATATTAAAAAAGAAAAAAAAAAGCTATTATTTATTTTAATTATTATTATTATTATTATTTTTTTTTTGAGAAACAAAGACAACCGTTAGTCTCTTGTTTATTATAAGTGACTTGCCATTACAACAGTATTATAAATAGCTAGACTAAACTACATCACTCTTTTATAGAAGAGCTTAATGCAAGGCTCAAAAAAATTGGACCCTTTGTCTAAGTATCTATTTAACTCCTCAAGTTTATAGCAAACATTTCGAAACACCTACAAATTCTTGAGCGGTGCCTAGCAGGGAGCTAGGAAATTAGGAAGTACCCAAATACATAAAGGTGCTGCAGCCAGATATACAGGTTTGCCTCCAAGTCATAGTTGGGATTTGGCACGCTTGCTTTCCAAAGTTGGCTTGATGTATAGTAGGCAGAGTCAGTGGAGGGAGAAATATGGATGGTGTTACCTTAATGCATGAAGGCGCTGCAGCCACTTTATGCAGGTTAGCCTCCAAGTCATAAAAAGGATTTGGCATATCCATTGTTCAAGTGTGATGGAAGTGTTCAATAGATAGAGGATTGGATTGGGTTTTCATATAGGCGTTGGTACCTAACCTTGCATATGAGACCTATATTGTTCAAGGAGTAAGCGAATATCATCACCAGCTTGTTTCCAGGGGCAACTAGAATCCCTGGTCTTCACGTATTGTCCTAATAGATTCTTATAAGGCGCAGTACCTAGAGATTCAGCCAATAATAGTGTGCACCGGTTTTTTAGACGTATCTAGTCTAACCGTCAACAAGTAAACAACGTTGGATTTGATAATGATAATCATGCCGATCTTTTGGAGGGGGTAAACCATCCGTCCTTTTTCTAAAAAATCATGGAAGAGAAAAACTTGTTGAAGTCTACTTCTTGGAGAGAGTTTGCCACTTCTTGTATAGTTTTTGAGAAAATGGAGTCAACTGGCCAGAGAAGTGATGAAATGACCATGATATTTCCTAAAGAAAGAGAAACCTAGCAAGGAAAAACTTCAGGAAGAAGGAAAAACCTAGCTTTGGCAGGAAAAGGGAAAAAGGGAAGGGGAAGGGAGAAATAATAAAAGGTATATATAAAGAAGAGTAGGAAAAGAGAAGGGAAAAGGGAGATAAAAGGCTTGTGGCCGAGAGAAGGGAGGGAAGGGGAAAAGCGAGAAGAAAGTAAACAACTTGAAAAGTTTCCTAAAAAGGAAATTTTCAAGCGCAAGAAGGGGGAGTAGAAAAGAGTTTTTTGATTTTAATTATTATTATTTCAATGAATTAAAATCCAAGCTTCTTATAATTGTTACTATATTTACTTTATATCATTTATAATTATTCAAACTATTTAATTTTTATTAAAATAGTAATATCTAAAAATGTTTAAAAATATTTTCAAAAAAATATTTTTTGAAATTTTATATTCAAAGACTTTTAAACAAAAAGAATATTGGTTTTCTATTATTGATTTCTCTTTTAAATTATATTTTTTAAAATTATTGTTTCATTTAATTAGTAGATAACTTCAAAATCTTTTTTTTAACTATTTTTCAAATAAATATTGTTCTTTAATTTGTTATCAAATTAGAATAAAACTTAAATTTTATATCTATTTTTTGCTTTTAAAAAGAATAAAAAATATATAAATAAATAAAAGAAGACAAAAAAGTATTATTTCTTTTTACTACTCTTTTAACTAAAAATTGTTTAACTTTTCAAAAATCAATTATATTATTAGTAACTGATGTAATTAACTAATTTTTTATCTTAATCAACTATCTTTTAAGTGATCTATATAATTAAAAATTTAAGGTTAAATTGAGATGGGTAAAATTTTTTAAAAAAATATAAAAAAAAAAAAATAAGGAGATAAAAAGAAAATAAAGAGATTAAAGATTTTTTTTTTTTTATTTTCCTAAATTTTTAAATCTCTTGAAAATCTTTGGAATATATTTTTTCTTATTAGTTTTTTTTTCAAAAATTATTCTTATCATAAATTTCTTAGATAGATTTTTTGTATTTGATTACAATAATAAACAAAAAAAATATTTTAAAAAAAAATCAATATTATTAAAGAAAGTATTGTAATTAAAATCTGTTTAATCTATATCTGAGTAATAGTTTTTAGAAGGAATTTAGAGATTATATAGAACAGTCTATCATTCCAGAGATAATCTCCTATAAATATTCCAAGGTATGGCAAAGATTCCCCAATGAATCTTTGTAACCAAAATGTGTTTAATAAAATAAGAGTATTTTATTAAGACACCGAGACAAAAGTTAAATGATTACAAGAGTAAGTTATTCAGAACTGAGTAAAAATTACATGGACAGCAGCTACTTATATAGTGTTTTCTACCCTAGGCTATCTGGACTGTCCAGGTTGTCTGGGCTGTCTGGGCTGCCTGATCTACATGTCGCGATATCATAATTTCATAGATCATAGGCCTTATAGGTCTTTTGGGCCTTCTGGGCTACTTGGACCTTCTAGGTTGTCTGATCTACATTACATGTGCTATAAATAGATATTTATACTATACTAAAATAATAAATCCTACTACTAAAA